TTAAATCATCTAAACCAACAACATGTATGTTAGACCCTATTCCATCTAAGCTCCTAAAAGAGGTGCTTCCAGAAGTCATAGATCCTTTTCTGACTATTATTAATTCATCAATGTCTTTAGGATATGTCCCTAAAACCTTCAAATTGGCTTTTATTAAGCCTCATTAAAAAACCTTGATCATAGAGAATTAGTTAATTACAGGCCGATCTCAAATCTCCATTTTCTGTCAAAAATACTAGAAAAGGCAGTATCCTCTCAGCTATGTTCCTTCTAGAGAGAAATGGTATCTCTCAGGATTTTCAGTCAGGATTTAGACCTTATCATATTACGGAGACTGCTCCCATCAGAGTTACAAATGACCTGCTCTTATAATCTGATCGTGGTTGTATTTCTTTATTAGTGCTACTGGATCTTAGTGCTGTGTTTGGCACCATCGACAACAACATTAGACTGCAAATAGAATAGACTACAAAATTATGTTGGCATTAGTGGAATTGCATTGTCATGGTTCAAATCTTACTTATCTGTCCGTTATCCATTCGTAGCAGTGAATGAAGAGATATCATATCGATCACAAGTACAGTATGGAGTACCACAAGGCTCAGTACTAGGACCGCTGCTTTTCACACTTTAGATGTTACCCCTGGGAGATATAAGCAGGAAACATAGTATTAGCTTTCACTGTTATGCTGATGATACTCAGCTCAGTATTTCTTCGCGGGCCGATGAAACCTACAATTCACAAAACTAACAGAATGCATAGTTGATATAAAAAACTGGATGACTAGTAATTTCCTACTGCTAAATTCTGACAAAACAGATGTTTTAATTATTGGACCAAAAAACTCTGCATGTAATAACCTAGAACACTCTCTAAGACTTGATGGCTGCTCTGTCAATTCTTCGTCATCAGTTAGGAACCTAGGTGTGCTATTTGATAGCAATCTTTCCTTTGAAAGCCACGTTTCTAGCATTTGTAAAACTGCATTTTTCCATCTTAAAATATATCTAACCCAAACTCTGGAATAACCTACCTAACATTGTTCGGGAGGCAGACACACTCTGTCAGTTTAAATCTAGATTAAAGACCCATCTCTTTAACCTGGTTTACACATAACACACTATCGTATTTCTGTAGTTCAAATCCGTTAAAGGTAGGGCTGTGCAAAAAATTGAACGCGATTTTCATGCTCATCTCGTCAGTAAAGCTGGTTCTGTGATTAGTAGTAAATCTCCAGCACGTGCTTTCAGATGGAGCGGCATTTACTACACAGAGCCGTAGATCACTGACAAGCTACGCAAAATCGCGTTCAAAATCAGCAATGAATCGTCGCATGGCCCCCCGATTGAGCCTGTTTTCTCCCATGGTTTTTTTTTTCCATTCTGTCACCGATGGAGTTTTGGTTCCTTGCCGCTGTCGCCTCTGGCTTGCTTAGTTGGGGACACTTGACTGATTGCACAGACAATATTGGAAGAAAGCTGAACTGGATGATGTCATCACTGAATCAACTGACTTTAGCTGGAAAAATGACTCTGTTATTGTCTTCTTGCTTTATTGACAAACTATTTTCCTGTGTGATACTCAGTATTATATAAAGCGCTATACAAATAAAGGTGACTTGACATCACATACAGAGTGCTTCCACTCTCCCACTGGCAATATAAGATTAATGCAACCCTTTGATGGAAATAAATGTTGTGATGTTGTGCAAGGCTGTGGAAACAATGCACACTGTGATCAAAGCTAAAGACGGTGCAACGAAAAAGTGTGTGACATTTTTTGGCCAGGCAGAGAATAAACCAACAGAAGTCTATAGAACGTCCCTATTCAGAGAGCTGAGTAAATGTGTGTGTTTTGGACCTTTGAGGTAAACCGGAGCTGGAGCGTTTTCTAATTTCTCCACATCTGTGTGAACAAGAGGCACTCGTGGATCATCATACTGGATCAGCTCCCTTTGGAGAAGAAAGATCAGATGAACTCCATCAGAACTAAAGCTCAAGCTCAAAGCGCAGGAGCAGAGCGAGTTAACGAAGCTCACTCACCAGCTGACGTCACTGGGGCGAGTGAGGATCCTCCTGTAAGCGCCGGCCAGAGAGTAATCCCGAACTTTGTGCCTCATGCTATCGATGTCCAGGTCATCAGCGCTCAGCATGTCTCTGTAGCCTCCACCCACTGCAGGAGACCCACAAACGGCCAGAACACCAGTGAGGAATCAAACACCACCAACAGAAAACACATCTGACCAGCCGAAGAAGATCAGCGGCTGAAAAACGGACGAGCAGAGCTGCTTCTTCTCTTGATGCTAAAGCACACAAACCGTCTTCTCTCTGTTTCTTAATCTTTGCAACTCCAAAGCCCCCATTAACCATACTATAATTCAACTATATTCAACCCGCCACCATGATTACTCACAATATCTACCCACTAAAATATTTGTAGACAATATATTTTTAAAATATTTTAGAGACTGACACAGTTTAAAAAATCTACATTAATGGCATTTTACCATTTTATGAATTTCTGACTTTTCTAACTCTTCCATGTCTAGAAATCACACTTTTACAATGAGGCTTCCTCATATATCCAGATTCTCCCACAATGCCTCACCGCTGTGAGTGGGATAAATGACGTCAAACCCCGGCAGTGGCATCACCACGTCATGAACGGAGTGTTTCTCTGCCTCGTCAGCGGACAGAACGTGAGCAGAGCCTGAAAAACACGAGAGATTCTGTCAGCATCACCATCACACACACACACTCACACTCAGACACACACACACACACACACACACAGACACACTCTCTCTCTCACACACACACACACACTCACACTCAGACACACACACACACACACACACACAGACACACTCTCTCTCTCACACACACACACACACTCACACTCAGACACACACACACACACACACACACAGACACACTCTCTCTCTCACACACACACACACACTCACACTCAGACACACACACACACACACACACACAGACACACTCTCTCTCTCACACACACACACACACTCACACTCAGACACACACACACACACACACACACAGACACACTCTCTCTCTCACACACACACACACACTCACACTCAGACACACACACACACACACACACACAGACACACTCTCTCTCTCACACACACACACACACTCACACTCAGACACACACACACACACACACACACACTCACTCTCACACACACTCACACTCTTGCGCACACACACACACAGACACACTCACACACTCACAGACACCAGGTCTGTACGTTAACTTTTTTTTCCACATAGCACTGGTGCTACAGAAGTTGAAAGTTTTGTAGCAGTAGGGCTGGGTATCGTTCAAAATTTTTCGATATCGATACCGATACCTTGACTTCGATACACGTGATGACACAGAAGAACTCATCCACAATATCCACATTGACCGCCACAAATATCCAGCGCCCCCTGCCATCAGCTCCCGAGTCTCACACACACGAGCGCGACTTCAGCACTAGATTTAGCAACTTTCAGACCCTTTTAGCAGTATTTGCTCTCTCAGTCAGTAGAAAATATGGTTAACACTCGGTTACACTCCACGCGCACACACACTCACACAGTCGCGCGCGCGCACACACTCACACAGTCGCGCGCGCACACACAGTTGCGCACACACACACACAGACACACTCACACACACTCACGTGCACACACACACAGACACACACGCACACTCACTTCCTCTGAGAACCAGATCTCCCTCCACAGCTCTGAGCCCGAAGGCCTCCATGCGTTTGCTGACCATACAGTTCCAGACGTAACTCTGATAGCTGTGGATGTACATCAGCCTGTTGTTACGAGGGATCTGAAGCAGGATAAAGACAGTTAGAGCACTGCGGAGGTCAATAGCGTGTGGGGTTATTTCATGATGTGAAACATTGGGTTCTCTCACCAGTCCGAATGCTGTGATGATGTTGTTTTTGCCGTACTTGGCCAGGCCTCGCAGTAACTGGCCCTCCACGCAGCGTTTGACCGGCAGTTTCTTGAGGGCCGCCTCTGGGTCCTGAGAGCGCGCCCACTCCTCTCTGCACTTCACCAGATAGCCCTTCTCCGCTGGACGCACCGCCAGAGAGACAAACACTCGGTTACACTCCAAAACACCAGCACACAAGTGTGAACAGCTGTTCTCGCTCTAGCATTATTACTCCGGCATTATGGTGTTATTTTACTGACAAATGTCAAGAGCGCACTGTTGTAGCGCGAAAGTACATTAATATGATGCGCGAGCGTGAATCTCTTCGCTCACACATGGATTTCCTTTGCTCTCACACTAAACCGGACGTGCTCTCAGATACACGCTGCTCTCGCCCAGAGGGTGTGCGCGCACTTAAAACGTGTCCACTGCAATCGCAAAGCTCTCATCTCACTCAAAGTGTGCGTGCTCAAACTACGTCCTGTGCACTCACAAATCTCTCCGTGCTCTTGTGCTAGAAATGAATTATTTTCACACCTGGACTAAACGTTGTCAAAAGTTATCAACCAATCAGACTTCCGTGTGAATCAGACTTCAGGAATGCTGCGTGAAATCTAATTGGCTGAGAGGGAACTGCACCTGGAATTATTTTGACAATCAAAGATGGATGCAATTTCGTTACTATTTAATAATATTTAGCAATATTAATATATTAGAAATTACTGGGATTGGGGTGCTTGGACGATTTGTACAAATAAATAACCGAGTAGTCTGTCTGTCTAACTGGTCAAACCCCTCTGAGCGATTTATCTAAAAACAACATATTATAGCCTGTAAGGCTTTTAAGACACTGCATATTAAAAGATCAATGTTATATTATATTATGTCAGATACCTCAACTGAATTTAAAATCAGTGCAATGAATTCTCAATCTGTACAATGATGCCAATAATAAGTAACAATTATAAAGTTTCCTTTCAAATCAACATCAAATGCTAAATGTAAATGATGCACAAGATATAACACAATAAATGCTGTGATAGAATCGCTGTTTGGACATTTATTGGGAGTTTTTTTTTCATCCAAAGTTTGTTTTCAGTTAGATATTTTTTTCATGAAAACTCACTTCATATTAGCTACACATTCAATGGCACAAGACAGTTAATATACAGTTACAGATAACTATTGTCTGCAAATTCATTAAACCCATAGAATATAATGATGTTATGACAAATATTCATTATGGAGGTATCTATGGAAGTAAAATAAAGACAAATGTCTTTGAAACAAAAAAGCATGTTGAATTGCACTAACTGAAAACAATAATGCATTGCATTAACAGTGCTTTGCATGTGCTGTCAGTCGCTCACCAGCAGGTGGCGCAAGACCAAAGCAACAGGTAGAGCAAGCCATTCATTCACAGAAACTGATCTGCAGAAATGGACCAAGCAGTAAATATAAGTTATGATTATCAGGGCCAGCATATATGCGGAAAAGCTAATTAAGACTCAAGAGCTGTGTTTACGTTTAATTCAGCATCTTCGCTGTTACTCGTTTCCCTGTGAAGCCACATGTAAGCAACTTTCTCTACCAAGGAGATTATAATGCTATTTTACCCGACGCTGATATACAGAACTAACATTACATCTAATATATTGATTTCGGTTGCTTAGTTTTAACTCCAGGATTCCCCAACCACACCTAACACGACTCAGTGAACTAATACAGTGACATAAACAAGACCTCAGTCAGTCAGATGTGCAACGCTGAACTTTCTGCCGAATTTGAACCACTTTATTAGTGGAAGCGAATTTGTAAAGTGAAATAAAATGGACTGAAAATTGCCTGTCGAATATTATACATCGTATTTTTAAACAGATTGAATATTTCGGAAGTGAACTCTGGAAGGTGAATATGAATTACTGAATTTTTAATTATGAAAATGTGTGTGAAATATTTTGAATTGAAATATTGACAGCTTAAATAAACAACTATGTTAAATTTCAGCCCCTAAAAACGCAAGCCCTGAAAATACAAGGCATAAAAATGCAAGCACTGTTAATGCAATGCATTATTTTTTCAGTTAGTGCAACTCAAGATGCTTTTTTGTTTCAAAGACATATGGCATTATTTTGCTTCCATAGCATCTTTGGCCTCCACATTTTAATTATTTAGGGAATAGTGCATCTGACTCTGATCTAGTTCTGTCCTAAAGGTGACCTATTATGCCCCTTTTTACAAGATGTAAAATAAGTCCCCAGAGTGTGTATGTGAAATTTTAGCTCAAGATAACCCACAGATCATTTTTTATAGCTTGTTGAAATTGCCACTTTTAGGGTATGAGCCAAAACGCGCCGTTTTTGTGTTTGTTGGTATCGATCCCTCTTTCAGAAGCAACCTTTGCACAACTCCAGTTACTGGAGACACTTTACTCCACAACACTTTAATGAATCTTTGGCTCTGACATTATATCTCCAGCAGCTACAGCAAGAAAACAGTAATGGCGGACCGCTGCTTCTCACTCAGGGCTGTGTCTATGCTAATAGGGCAGAGAGCATCACAAATGGGTGGGACTTTATTTTTATATATATTTCAATCGAAGTACATTTGCTTTCACACACTGTGGCCACACAACTGTGTTCAAACACCTTATAAAAGTGATTTTTGCATAATAAGTCCCCTTTACATCAGAAGATATTTTTATATATATTTCAATCGAAGTACACAAGACATGTATGACCACATGAACTTTAAAGAATCATATACATTTTTGGTTTGTTTAGATAAATCGCTCAGAGGGGTTTGACCAACCAGTTAGACAGACTAGGATATTTATTTGTACAAATCATTCAAGCACCCCAATCCCAGCCATTTCTAATATACATTTGATTAATATTGCTAAATATTATTAAATTGTAACGAAATTGCAGATCCATCTTTTGTCTAAAGAATTCCAGGTGCAGCTCCCTCTCAGCCAATTAGATTTCACGCAGCATTTTAATCGGTCAGTCGCGGAAGTCTGATTGGATGATAACTTTTCACAACGTTTAGTTCAGGGGTTAAAATAATTCATTTCTAGCGCAAGAGCACGGAGAGATTTGTGAGTGCACAGGACAGTTTTAGTGAGAGCAGAGATTCTCGATTGCACGGACAGGTTTTAAGAGCACACTAGGGATGGAACGATTACCGGATTGATGATAAATCATGATAAAATTCCCCACGGTTAGTATTACAGTTTCATCTTTTAATTATCATTAAAACCGTATTCGATTACTGTGATTTGAACACCTGAGGGTAAATAAATACTGCCCAGCACAGTTTTCAGTAACAGTCTCATGTGCGCACAGCACGCAGAGTAGTTTTGTTTTGTGTGAAAACATGGCGGAAAAGCTGGGAGGTTTTAAAAGAGTGCTAAGGGATTAATACAAATGAATATATGAATGAATTAATTATATGAATGCAACTCTGAAGGTTCTGACTGTCTTCAGAAAAGATTTGATAGCATTTTGTTTTCATCTTCACTCCATGTAATACCTAATAAAGAAGTGTTCTTATCGTAATACTGCTTTGTCCACAGAGGTTACGGGGAAACGGCTCTAATTCTGCTGTTCCAATAGCGCCACCTGCTGTCAGCGAGTGGATTTACAGAGACTTATATTTACATTCAGTCTGTGCAGTATTTGTCTGGCCAAAAAAATGGACCGAATTTGCATAACCTGCCGTAAATTTTGACTGGTTGATGAAAAACAAGCTTATGTGGATTCTACACATTTAAATAATTCAGATAAGGTATCTAGAATTATTTATGTAGCAGATAAAATCCATATAATCATTTACTAATCAATTATCATTTTGACTTAACCCTTTTCTTTATTTCAAGGCTGAAATGTGAGAAACTTTAATTACATTTTATGAAACTTTTCAAAGCTATAATTGAACATTTCGTACATGCTATTAGATAAACTGTCGTCAGTCATGCTGTCATTTAAAATCCGGACATCATTATGTGTCGGTACTTTTTTAACATATCCAGCACATTTTAAACAATACCGTGATAATACTGATAACCATGATAATTTAGTGCGAGAGCAAAGAAAATCCGCGTGCGAGCGAAGAGATTCATGCTTGCACATCATATTAATGTACTTTCGCGCTACAACAGTGCACCATATGGCATTAATAAAGGTGTTTTCTTTTGAAACCGGTAACCATCATGTAATTAGCGTTGGTGACAGCAGGAGCGCAGTGATCTCCCAATCAAACACTGATGCAATAGGCTAGAGGAGAACCAGCCTCCCCGAATTAATCTGGTTTCACAAGTCTTTTTCTCCTGATGGAGGTTTGATTCCTGTCACTTTTGGCTTGATAACTGAGAGCTTATAGACAATTACTATTCAGTAAAATCAATCTATTCAGCTGTGCTTGAAACGATCCAGTGAAGTCACTGAATAACCGAACTGAAAGACTGAATAATGCCATTATAGTCTGCAGAGCTGCTTTTTAGCTGAAATTCCTGATTGTACAATTTTGCAGCACTGATGCTGTTTTCTGTTTACTGCTGTAAAGCTGATCTGAAGCAATCTGTATTGTAAAAAGCACAACATGACTTGTTTGTGTTTTGCATTCAAACTCATCAAGCTCATTTGTGCGCTTCATTAATGTTCAGTGTCAGATGAGCACGGATGGACACAAAGCTCTAGCTCACCCGATATCTCACAGAAATAAGTGTATTTTACTCAAATGAAAGACATTAGTCACATTTTACTGAAACACTCTCTTAAGTCACTGGTACGTGGCTCACCTGCACTCAATGAGTAAGTGTAGAAATGACTGAAGGAAAGGCTAATGAGAGAATCTGACCTCCAGGACGAGGTTTCAGGATGAGATCCACGACCTCCTTCCAGTTGTTCTGCAGTATAGCCCTGTGAATAAGAGCCAACGGCAAACCATGAGTTTCAGAGACACAGGTGTGAGTGTGTGTGTGCGTATGAGTGTGTGCGCGCGCACGTGTATGTGTGTGTGAGTGAGTGCGTGTGTGTGCGCGTGTGTGTGCATGCATATGTGTGAGTGCGTGTGTGTGAGTGTGCGCGTTTTTGTGACAAATGAGGACATAAATGTGTATAATGACAAAGGTATGACATAGGTATTACAAGGAGAAGGTGACTTTTCAGGACATTACCCCATGTCCCCACTTTTCAAAACGCATATAAATCACACAGAATGAGTTTTTTTGAGAAAGTAAAAATGCAGAAAGTTTCCTGTGAGGGGTAGGTTTAGGGGTAGGGTTGGTGTAGGGCAATAGAATATACGGTCTGTACAGTATAAAAAACATTACGCCTATGGGATGTCCCCACTTTTCACAAAAACAAACCTGTGTGCGTATGAGTGTGTGTGTGTGTGTGTGCGTGCGTATGTATGTGCGTGTGTGTATGTGTGAGTGCGTATGAGTGAGTGTGTGTGTGTGTGCGTATGAGTGTGTGCGCGTGCGTGTGTATGTGTGAGTGCGTGCGTGCGTGTGTATGTGTGAGTGCGTGTGCGTATTCGTATGCGTATGCGTATGAGTGAGTGTGTGTGTGTGTGTGCGTACAGCCGAATCCAGGACATTTTGGGCAATTAAGAAATCCCGGCCGGACGCATTTTTGTAGGTCCAAAAAGAGAACATGTCCGGGGAAAAGGGTCTTCTTACATTACTGACAAACTATTTCCCTGTTTAAAACGGTAAAGCTGCTTTGACACGACTAGTATTGTAGAAAGCACTATACAAATAAAGGTGACTTGACTTGACCAGGGAAAACATACTGCATGGCCACACTGGTCGAGCTGATCTACCTGCAACAATAACCAGCTTAACTAGCTTGTGCCAGTGACAAACCAGCAGTGCTCATAGAACTTCAACATGAGGGTGAATAAATGAAGAATTTTAGATTTTTCTCCCTTAACTCTTCCTTGCAGCCCAGCTTAGAATGAAGCGAGTCTAAACCGGTTTAAATGTTTATCAGACCGAGAGAACAAAACATGCGTCAACCAGCAGCAGTGTCTCACCTGAGAACCACCGTGAAGTGGTTTCCCTGCAGTTCTCCAAGTTTCAAGGGCTGTTTCTTATAGCTGAAGTTCCCCAGCTTCAGGTTCATGAGGCATTTGTTGAGGTGAGACAGTCTCTCAGCGCTGATCCTGTGGAGACACATTCAGATTCATGTAAACACGAGCGAGTCTGAGGACAGCAGACATCTGACGGGGTTCACTCACTTCAGCACTGCGATCTCCTGCACCGTGACGGCCCTCTTGTCTTTGGTGCCCATGTAGGAGAACATGTTGGGTCTGACCCTACAGAAACAGAGGAGGAGCTGTGAGCGGGGCGTTAGGGAGCGGCAGCGGCGGCTCAGACCAGTGTTTCACAGACCTGAGCTCCAAGTTTCAAGGGCTGTTTCTTATAGCTGAAGTTCCCCAGCTTCAGGTTCATGAGGCATTTGTTGAGGTGAGACAGTCTCTCAGCGCTGATCCTGTGGAGACACATTCAGATTCATGTAAACACGAGCGAGTCTGAGGACAGCAGACATCTGACGGGGTTCACTCACTTCAGCACTGCGATCTCCTGCACCGTGACGGCCCTCTTGTCTTTGGTGCCCATGTAGGAGAACATGTTGGGTCTGACCCTACAGAAACAGAGGAGGAGCTATGAGCAGGGCGTTAGGGAGCGGCAGCGGCGGCTCAGACCAGTGTTTCACAGACCTGAGGAACTTGGACAGGAGGTTGATGGCGTCCATGGTGTCCTTGTTCTCTTTATAGAGCACGAAATGACAGAAACTCCCGCGGTTCTTCGGCCACGAGTGCTTTCGAGGGGCTTCGGTGGGACACATGAGGAAGAGACGAAAGACACAACATGAAAATGCAGCACAGACTCAAACAACATATAACTGAGTTTTTTTTAAATTGCTTTATTTAAATTTTTTAACAAAAACATATGTGGTCAATAACACCAGTGCAATATCTACAAAAACTATTCATCAAATCAATTTAGACGGCAGCATTGCATGTGCTACTGAACTGAGCATTAACACTCACAGCTTATTATATTCAGAACACCTCCACAATATTTCCACACAATAACAGCTTTTTAATTAGCACAGCTGTCGGGTTATCAGTATAATTCAAGCACTGTTTCCTGATGTTTTAACTAGAGATGCACCGATCTATCGGCCGATTTTCCTCATGATCGGCCCGGATCGGTGATCGGTCGGTCAGTCTCGCTTCTTTCCGATTCGTTTTGTTACCAGCGGCACAGGCAATAACATCAGCCGCGGATTCTCGCTCTCTTCTCTCCGACGACCCCTTCTCTCTCACACACGTCTCATTCACTCCGGTTAAATAGTGCTTGTATTGAGCATTATTTTAGTCATTCCCGCAGGTTTTGCGCTTACTAGTGGATCAATATTAGTGGAGCGCACACAAGCCGCGCTCAGTCTCAAACAGCTTGTGAGCCACAAATACCAAAATGAGTGGCTAACTGCGCTAAAACGTTCAAATACATACAAAATTATGTCAAAATGCCCGTCTTGGCGAGTATCCAGTTAAACGCAGTCAGTTTTGGAACGTTAAATAGTTGAGAAAGAGAACGCATGTTGTGTAAGATGGGCCTGTTTACACCTGGTCACTTCATGGGTTTTGTCTGATGGGATAGCTATCAGATCGTGTAAAGACCAGGTGTAAATGCCCTCCGAAACGCATTCGAGACGGATATAAATCCGATCGCTCAAACCACTTTAGGAGGTGGTCTGGGACGCATTCCAGACGAAACTGGACCAGTGTAAATGCATCTGGTTGTTGAAACCACATATGTAAATGTTACTCCTCCCAAAATGATAAAATAATAAACTTGCAATTTTTTTTATTTGTTCTTATTTTATTACTGACTTTTTACTTGTTTTTTTATGAAAATAAAACTTTGTGTTAAAGAATAGTAGATTTTTGTTTGTATATACTGTCAATTATAGTTCTTAGAAAGAAAATCGGAATCGGCAAAAATCGGTATCGGCAGATCACACTAACAAAAAAATCGGAATCGGCGCATCTCTAGTTTTAACATCTTTAGTTGCAGTCAGCAGACGGAGGTCAAGAGACAAGTTTTCACAGCTCTGGGTACAGCAAAAAATGTCTTCATGGAATAAACATATTCACTATATATTTCTACATACTACACTGCTTCAGTCACTTGGTTTGTATTTCTGCACACCTCAAACACAGAACAACATCACCCAACATAAGCACGCTTCTGGCAATCACCTCAGCTTTACTCTGCTATTTTGGGATCCTGATTTAGTCCTACAGATTCATAAAGGCACATTAAAATTGTGATCAAAAATTCTAAATAAAAGATGGTTCGTCAGCATTTGAATGAATTCACTTTTTGAATGAAAGTCCAACAGAAGGACAGATTCCCCGACGCGCCCGTCCCGGGGCCGATGTGCGATCGATCTTACCTGCCGAGGGCCGGAGCTCTGTCCAGAGAGCGAGAGGAGCGTTAGGAGAACAAGAGAGCGTTACTCGGGACAGTGAGGAGACACGCATGCGTTCACAGCGCAGCTCTGGGAACCGTTCCGTTCCATTCAACTCACTGATAGTCCAGGTGATGATATGTGCAAAATTTGAGGTGATATGTTCACTTCTTCATAAAAGCATGAAACTTGGTACAATTGTACAGGTTAGGGCCCTTAGGCATGGGATGGTATGAGATTTTGACAGTATGATAACCCTAACCAAAAATATCATGGTTTCATGGTATCACGGTATTGTCGTTACAGCTCTAAAATGTGTTATTTTTAAATGA